TCTCTCTCTCTCTCTCTCTCTCTCTCTCTCTCTTTCTCTTTCTCTCTCTTTTTGGATTAAGATATAGCTCTCAACTGCTGCCCCAGTGCCTGCCTGCGTGCTCTCATCCTCCCCACCATGATGATAATAGATTGAACCTCTGAAACGGTCAGTGAAAACCCAATTAAACGCTTTCTTTTGTAAGAGTTGCTTTGGTCATGGTGTCTCTTCACAGCAATAGAACAGTGACTAAGAGACTGATCAATTCTTTCTTATAAAATAAAAGTCCTTTAACACCTCTGGAAATGTCCTCTGAGTCTTGACAACCAAGATCACAAGAATGTAAAGAAGAATAAAACTGTGATGTCTATGGGGGCAAAGGGCATCACAGCATAACCAGCGAGTCCACCAACAAGTACTGTGTGGAGTGTGTTGGTATTTCAGAGAAAGAGGCTTACTGATTTGGGGGATCTACATATAGGTAACTTCCACGGCAAGTGTTTAGATGTTACCCCGTTACAAAGTGAGTATGGGGAAGAGAGGTTTCAGACAACTATACCTGCTGAAGCAAAGGCACAAGGGGAGAAAAACAGGACCCTTAAGGAAAGGATTTGAATCCTCAGTTGTCTGTTTTCAAAGTCTACAGATGTTTATGTCATGCACTTCTGTGTTTTGCTTTATGTTAGTGTGCTCAAGAATTCACCCAATTTCCAGTCCAGGGTTTTACAGAAGTCGATAACTAAGAGCTGTCCTTGCTGTGTCACAGCTCCAAGGAAGGAAGGGAAGTCATTTGGTAGATCATCTTCTTGATGAGACTGAGTACCCACACTATTGTAAAGAGCTCCTATGGTAGCCAGGATTAAAAAGCAATACTTGTCTATACCTAACTGTGAAACCACTGACCAATAAGCAAAATGTCGAAAGGATTGTCCCAGTTGCTATGAAAGGAGGCCTCTTGTTTTTCCGGCTGCCCAGAACCAAAATAATTACACAAAAACTGTATTATTTAAACCACTGCTTGGACCATTAGCTCTAGTTTCTTATTGGCTAACTCGTACATATTAATTTAACCCATTTCTATTAATCTGTGTATCGTCACATGGCAGTGGCTTACCGGCAAAGTTTCGGCATGTCTTACTCTGGTGGCAGCTCAACGACATCTCTCTAACTCCACCCTTCTCCTCCCACGCTATTGGCCAAACCAGTTCTTTATTTATTTTAACCAATAAAAGCAACACATAGACAGAATGACCTCCCACACCAAGTTGCTGTATACCTGACTTACACATTTATTGAGAGGACTTCCCAATATTAGTGCATCATTGTAAGCGAACTAACTTGACATCACTATATCACTCTTCTTTTCACATATCACCAGAACTGCATCATTTTCATGAGTCAGTGATGTTTTCCTCTTAGGAAAAACCAAAGACAGATACAAATCAGACGTCGAGGCTGATATGACTCACCATAGAGCCAGACTCAATAGAATGATACAGAATGGGAGAGAATCATAAATTCGCTGGCAACTTGCAGTCTTGTGAAAGAAATTTTAAGGAAAGAAGAGATGAGACCAAAGAATAACAAGGATCTGTCAAGAGTGGATTTTGCAGTCCTTGCCTATTTTTAGGACTGTGCACATATCCAGCAAGCTATGGTGAAATGTTCTGAAAATTGCATGTGCACTTTGGATTCTTTAAAAGGCAAGAATGACTGTGGTGTTGCTCAGTGCTACAGTATTTGTTCAGGATGTGCAGACCCTGAGGAGAAATCCCCCAGTGCCACAAAAAAAATAATAAAAAAATAAAAAAATTAAGAATTAAGAATAAAAAATAACAAATAAAAATATAAACACACTCTGATTCCTAGTTGTTTCAGTGCCCGTTTTAACCATAAAGAGTTGTTTTCCTCTATGTTGTGGCTTATGAAGTTTTCAAAATCATACATGACTCAGAGAAGCACACATCCATGCTCTGAGGTGTGCCTTTCTTTCTGAGTGCCTTTCTCTTGACTCTTGTGCTTAAAGTCTATGTTAAAACATACTAATGGTGGGTGTGGTAGTGGATACCTTTCCAGCACTTGGAAGCCAGAGGCAGGCAGATTCCTTTGAGTGCAAGGCCAACCTGATCTACAAAGCAAGTTCCAGTCCATTCAGGGTTACACAGTGACACCCTGTCTCAAAACAAACAACAAACATATTAAATGGGGCCTAGAAGGATGGCTTTGGGTAAAAGTGCTTGCTGAACAACCTTGATGACCTAAGTTTGAATCACCAGAACCCAGGGCATACACCAGATGTAGCCACTTGGGTGCCTGAATCCCAGAGTGATAAAAGGCAGAAACAGGACCTTCGGGGTTTTCTAGTCACCAGTCTAGTTCCAAATTCGGTGAGAAACCCTGTCTCGAGAAAATAGGGTGAAGAATGATAAGGCAGGACACCTGATGTCCTCCTCTGCCCTCCACCAGTGCATCTGTGTGCCTCACCCATGAACTCAGACACCACACACCATGACATACACACACAAATATTTTCAAAATACTTCTGTGGACCCAACTGTTTGTGATGGACAGAGAGTTCAATGTTTAAGAAAATGCGAGGCCCTTGCAGAGCGCCAGATTCAGTTCCTAAAATGTTGGGCAACTCAAGTTTGCCTTTAATTTTAGCTGCAGGATATCTAAATCCCTCTTCTGACACCTGTACTTATGTGCACACACAAACACACACACACACACACACACACAGAGAGAGAGAGAGAGATACATAATTTTAAAATAACTAAAATAAATAATAAAAGCAACTGCTTTAGAAAAAACAAATCATTCTTCATGCATCTTTTATATTTAATATTCAAGTTCCTGGTTGGTGAAGCTGGCACTATTAAACAGAAAGTGTGGCTTGTCAAAATCCTCAGTGGATTAGTTCGCCTAGTTTGTTCTATGTTCTAGCAAATATGTATGACTTTGCAAAGGCTATATTGTTGATTTCCAGACATAGTTTAAAATCATGATGAAACCTCCTAGCTCACTTACCTCCTAAAACAGAACCATTCATTTCCAACAAATGTCCTTGCTAACAAAACCTGATCTGGAATGAAAATTTATACGAAGATTTTAGTGAAACATGGAAATAAAATTATTTCTTATAATAAATTGGCTTAGAAAGAAATATTCATGTTGTTGTAACTGTTTTCTTGGAACAATTATATTCTTCTACAGTGAGAGTTCTCCCATAGATATAACTAAAAACTTTTCATGGAAGCTGCTCTGGGACTTGTGGGTCATGAAAGGCCACATAACTCACTTTGGAAAGGGGCAGATGGGGAGAAGTCTGACCATGAAGTTACTGCTTGTACAAACTGGAACTTCACATCCTTTGGCTCTTTCCTGTCAAGGGTCACTGCCTACTCACAAAATCTGAAATTTTTAACTTAGGTCATGTACTCATATATTTAGTTAAGAGGAGAGGTCAGAGGCTAGGAGTCCTAGAGCAGCATGACAGTCAGAGAAGATTCTGTTTGGTTGAAATGGAACATGTTGGGTTGGGCAGTGGCAGCACAGGCCTTTAATCCCAGCAGTCAGGAGCCAGAGGCAGGTGGATCTCTGTGAGTTCAAGGCCAGTCTGGTCTACAAGAGCTAGTTCCAGGACAGGCTCCAAAACTACAGAGAAACCCTGTTTCAAAAAAAATAGAAAATGTCCTGTAGCTAACTGGTTTATGGCTGGGTACTGGGCCACTAAGACACAAAAATATCTTCTACAACAAAGGATACAGGTTATATGAAGCTGGGAATGTGGGAACCCACAGCTGTCCTTTCCCCCTGCTTGGCTATCTCTTATGACTATCAAACCAGCACCAACAAAGAGATGAGCTAACAGATTTGGTACTAAGTAAAACTGTAGAATTATGTGAGTCATAAACTTGTTTGAAGAAAAATAAAGGTTGGTACACGTTTAATAAAAACCTGAGTAGTAATGATTCATTGCCATCAACATTGTTCTAGAAATTCTGACTACTAGAGCACAATAAGAAATATGTACATAAAAATCCTTAATAGCAGGATATAGTGTATACAAAAACCTTAATGCTTGGATATAATGTATATAAAAACATTAATGGCTGGGTATAATATAAAGTCTTAATGCCTGGATGCCGTGACGTATACTTTAAATCCCAGTTCTTAGGAGGCAGAGGCAGGCAGATCACTGTGAGGTTGAGGCCAGCCTGATCTACATAGCAAGTTCTAGGCTAGTCAAACTACTTAGTGAGACCCTGTTTCAACAACAATAAAAAGAATAGTAATTCTCTAAAAGAGGTTAAAGCAAATTTAAGGCTGGTGTGCTTATCTATTATGAAAATACAAACAAATCAAATGAGAATATATATATATATATATATATATACTTTATTGTATACTGACAATGATGGTTACAGTAAAATACGCCTTTTCAGTTTCACCCAGTTTATTATTATCAGATTCTATCTTTTTGTCTTCTAATCGCACATCTACGTGACTGCCCATAAATCCAGACAGCTATTTCTGGATCCTTGGGCCTTCGTTTCTAGACCCTTTCTCTTCATGTAAATCAATATAACAATTTTTTAAAGATTTATTCAATATCTAGAAATAATCTTTGAGGGACACCTCAGGATAAATAAGAAAAACAACAGAAACCTCACTGTAAAGTACAGAAAACTTTTAATATGTTTCCCTTTTGAAATTTAACAAACTGGTCTCATAGGGGAAGTGATGTAAGATGTCTTTATGTATACATGCTGCTTTTCTTGGTCAATGAATGAAGCTGTTTTGGCCTATAGCAGGACAGAATACAGCCAGACTGAAATAGATAGAGAGAGAACATAAGTGGAGTCCAAGAGACCCTGTGTAGCTACTGAAGAAGACAGACGCTGGAGAACCTTATTGGTAAACCACGAGCCTCGTGGTGATACATAGATTAATAGAAATGGATTAATTCAAGATGTAAGAGTTAGTTAGAAACATGCAAGCGAAATAATTGGCCAAGCAGTGTTGTAATTAGTACAGTTTCTGTGTGATTATTTTGGGCTTGGGCAGCTGGGAAATGAACAAGCAGCCTCTATGTACAGGTAAGGAATTCAAAGTAGTGTTTTAGACTGAAGAGAGGCAACTTGTATTGTAATATACTATACATACATATGTAATATAATATACATATATTCCTTCTAATTTGTACCCTAAATTCAGCTGTGTGATTCAGTTGCTGAATGAATAAATTACTGCTGTCAATTCACAGAAGGTCATCTAAGAGCTAGGACAATTCTTTAACATGTAAGTCTTTAATACTGCATAACAATAATGTCAGAGACCACATCTATTTGGTGTCAAATATCAGATTATATACAAGCATTAAAGTTTAACTCACCATATACATATTTAACTCAAATAACTAATTTTAAAAGCCCATGTGCCTAATGTTGGTTCACTATTATCATAAATGTAATCACCAACTGTTTTTACAAAACAGTAAAGCATAATGGTTTCATGATTGCATTATAAAAATAACTTAAACCTAGATGAATCTTTTTGGAAAATTTTGCCAAAGAGAATCATCTTTAGTGCTCTTCTGAACCAGGGATAGAAAAAGGCATAAACCATTGGGTTGAAGGCAGAATTCAGGTATCCAAACCAACCCAGTCCATCATTCAAAGTGGGTGGAATAGCATAGCCCAGGAAAGGGTCCAGGACCACGCAGAAAAATAAAGGACACCAGCATATGAGAAAAGCACTCATCACAATCCCTAAGGTCTTTGCAGCTTTAGTTTCTTTGTTTTGTGGTGCTCTGTTTTTCTCTTCCGATCCAATTTGAAGATTTATGCCATTAATTGACTTTGCTTGTCCTTTAGCTATGGAATAAATTCTAGAGTAAACAAATAACATTACAGACCCAGGTATATAGAAAGACATCATGAAGACCAGTACCCCAGATACTTTGGTAAAGAAGACAGAACACCCGCCTAGGAAGCAAACCTGTCTGTGATACATTTCTTCAACTCCTTTGAAGTTCAACTCCAGGAAGATCATCCCAAATGCAAACGCAGCAGGAATGCTCCAACTAATGAGGATCATCACAAAAATAGTCAAGATATTCATCTTGGCTTTGTATCTCAACGGGTGGCACACAGCATAGTAGCGGTCGATGGAAATGAAGGATAAATGGAAAACGGATGCCGTGCTGAGCATAATATCGGTGCCGGTATGAACTTTACAGAAAGTTTCTCCAAAATACCAACGGTGCTCCACTGTTCTCACCATGCTGTAGGGCATCACCAGGCAGCCCAGCAGAAAGTCCACTGTGGCCATGGATTGAAGGAGCCAATTTGTGGGCGTATGAAGTTGCTTGAAATGGGATATAGAAATTATTACCATTAAATTGCCAATTAGAGTGGCCAGAATTATGAGTGACATTAAGCTATACAGGGAAGCACGAACACCATTTGACCAGTTGCTGTTCGTGTGGGAAACATTAATATCGTGGCAAAGATGCATCACTACAGACATGGCTGTCCCCATAAGCTGTTGAGCAATCTTTCTCAAGAATCCGTAGTCAGGTTAGAGATCCTTCTTCTTTTGCTTTTTTACAGGCTCATAGCTGTCCTGGAAACCTGGGTGAAGCAAAAAGAAGAAGAAAAATGATTATCTGATCAATAATTAACTCATTCCTTTTATATCACATTTACACGTTCTTGCTGAAGAATATCTGCTTTGGAAGTTTTATTTACAAGGTTACTTTAATACTTCAATTCAAACATATTTAATATCCAGTTGGAGCTGGATATTGTGCTAAAATATAAAACTTGGAATGAAAGAAAATCAGCACATTAAACCTCTACATTTAAAAGTCAGAGGAAATCAAATGATAATTATTTTGTTTCAATCAATGCAAATAGTCCTTGTCTGAAGAAAGTCAGAGTTGAAAGGCTTACACTCTACAGTTGGCAGAGGATAGATTTAAAATAACATTTGAGTATGCCCCCAATAGACACTTTTCATTAATATGCTCTTAAAGTCTTCTTAGCCAATCTACTATTAGATTACCAAACTCCAGTAAGTCTTTGGACCACATTCTGCCCACTATATTCTTCTGTCACTTCTTCAAGTAGATTCTCCCTGAGGCTTCTGAGTCACCATCCCTTACAAGTTCTGCAACCAGATAGGCTGGTTCTTTCTTTCACAGTTGCTTACCCTTCTCCTTTCACATGCCTCTGTTTCCTTCTACAAAGTCTCTCTAGACAGTTTCTCATGGCCTTGTGATTTTAATCTACAAGCCAACAAGTCTCAATGCATGCATCTGCCCCAATCTTCCCTCCTGACTCTGGCTTAGTATTTTCTGCTAGCTAGAAGATATCATCCTTTAGCGCATCTAGGTCAAACTCTGTTTCTTTTATATCATGTACCTAAGTCTTACTCATTCTGTGTTCTGTACATCTTGGAAATATGAGGTCCACCTTGAGAGTACTTGATCCCAGGTAAATGGGTAAAAGTTCTTGCCATACCACCCTGATGGTTGGAATTTGATGCTAGGAACAATGTGGTAAAAGGAGAGAAAGACTCCCAAAGATATGTTTTTAACTGTACATACTTGCCATCTCACACACACACACACACACACACACACACACACACACACACTAATGACAATAATAATAATGACAATAACATTTCTCAATCCAACACTTTGATATAATTCTTTTTTTCTCATGCCAAACAGTTACCTGTACAGAAAAGTTAGCTTGACTCTCCATGAAAAATGTCAAGAATTAGACCACTTTTTCATTTCTATAGGCCCAAGTACCTGTAGGTACCAATTTCTACCTCATAAAAATTTTATCTTGACTCTCCATGGAAAATGCAACTAGACCTAGACCATGTTTTATTTCCACTGATAGCTATTCTGGTCCAAGCCATCATCTGCCAGACTATGCTAATGACAATTTCCCAAATGGTTTCCATGCTATTTTTCTGATGCCCTTACAAGGTTCTGATTCTACTGCATGGATTGGCTTTGTGGAAGCCTAGTCTGTTTGGATGCTCACCTTCCCAGACCTGGATGGAGGGGAGAGGACCTTGGACTACCCACAGGGCAGGGAACCCTGACTATTCTTAGGACTAGAGAGGGAGAGGGAAATGGAAGGGGGCAGGGGGAGGAAAATGGGAGGAGGTGAGGAGATGGAAATTTTTTAATAAATAAAAAAATACAGTCAATATTTTAAAAAAAGATGTGTGCTGCTCTGTTTTATGTGAATGTGACACAAGCTAAAGTCATTTGAAAGGAAGGAACCTCAGTCAAGAAAATGCCTCCATAAGAGGGCTGTAGGCAGGCCTGTGGAGTATTTTTTTTAAATTATTGAATGATGGGGCAAGGCCCAGACCATTGTGGGTGCGGCCATCTCTGGGCTGGTGGTCCTGGGTTTTATAAGAAAGCAGGCTGAGCAAGCCATGGGGAACAAAACAGTAAGCAGCACGCCTTCATGGTCTCTGCATCAACTCCTGCCTCTAGGCTCCTGCCCCATTTGAATTTCTGTTTTTCAGTGATGGGCTAGAATATAGATGCATAAGACAAATATACCCCTTTCTCCACAAGTTTTTTTTTAGCCGTGGTGTTTCATCACAGCAATAGAAGCCCTAACTAGGACAGAGGACTTGTAGTGGCTCACATCAGCAGCTCATGCAATCTTGAACTGGATTTTCTAATAGAGTAGATGCTGTTTGACATTTCCTCATAAATTTGCAGTCCCTAATTAATGTGCTTTCCCCAAATCACATAACCTTACATTTCTCAGACGTACGGAAGCCTTTCATTTAATGAGAAGCAACATAGTGAGAAACAAGAAAATGATTTAAAACAAGAAAATAATTTAAATGCAGGACTATGACTTTGTATAAATATGAAAAATGTTCTCTCAGATTCAAGAATTAATAAGATACAGTACTTGTATATCATCTGTTGCTTGAAGAAGTCATGAAAATTAAGAAGCCAAGAACTTGGTCCATGACAGGCATGGTGGCACACACCTTTAACCTTAGCATTCAGGAGGCAGAAATGGGCGGATCACTGTGAGCTGGAGACCAGCCTGGTCTACAAGGTCAGTTCCAAGACAGTTAGGACTGATATGACTCAAAAAAAAACAAACAAAGACCAAAAAATGAAACAAAAAAGGTAGGTGCTTAAAAGACTAATACTTGGCTCTTTGCAAAACAATCAGAATTGTGTTTCAATAATTTCAACAAATTCTGCTTTTAAATATAAATGTAATTAAAAGAGAGGTGCACATTTTAAAATTCAAGTGTGAAGAGTCACAGCATTCAAGTACTGATAATGAAAGAAAATCTGCTGACAAGATGCTGAAAGCAGAGTCTCAGAGATGCTCTGAATTCCGTGCACCTAAGATACACCACCCAGAAACACTAGGACATCAAAAATGTGGAATGGTGGCAGACAAAAGCCAAGCCATCAAGAAGGGTAGCTGTTGTGGGAGCAGAGAAATAAAAGTCTGAAATAAAAATGAGTTTTAAAACTTGATTGCTTTCAGTGTCTGTACTACTGGTGTTATATTTAGGAAGAAGTCTCCTGTGCTCATACATTGAAGGCTACTTCCCACTTTCTCTTCTATCAGGTTCAGTATGGGTCAAATTTATATTGAGGTCTTTAATCCATTTGAACTTGAGTTTTGTGCATGATGATAGATAAGGATCTATTTGCATTCTTCTATATGCTGACATTCAGTTATTCCAGCACTATTTATTGAAGATTCTTTCTTTTTTCCATTGTATAATTTTAGCTTTTATGTCAAAAATCAGTGTTCATTGGTGTGTTGACTAATATCTGGGTCTTCGATTCAATTCCATTAGTCAACTTCTGTGTTTTTATGCCAATAACAAGCTGTGTTCGTTACTGTAGCTCTGTAATAGAGCTTGATGTCAGGGATGGTGATGCCTCTGGAAGTTCCTTTATTATACAGGACTGTTTGGGCTATCCTGGGTTTTGTGTTTTTCATATGAAGTTGAGCACAGGACCAAACTAGGCCCTCTGAATGTGGGTAACAGCTGCATGGCTGGGGCAAACTGTGGGGACCACTGGCAGTAAGACCAGGATTTATTTCTACTGCTTGTACTGGTTTTTGGGAATCCATTCTCTCTGAAGGGATGCCTTGTTCAGCCTAGATATAGAAGGCAGACCCTTGGGTCCTGTATCAAAACAATGTGCTAGACTTTCTTGATTCCCCATGGGAAGCCTTACCTTCTCTGAGAAAGTGAATGGGTGGTGGGATGGGAGGGAAGTAGAGGGAGCGGGAGGAGGGGAAGGATTTGGCACGTAAAATAAAAAAGATAGTTTATTTTTAAATAAAATTAAAAAACAAGATGATAAATATGAATGGCATAAGAAATGATGGGTGGCATTTTAAATTCCCCAGTAAAACACAAAAGAGAATAATGAAACCATAACTAACTACCAAACTGATCTAGTGGGTAGAGTGGAAAAAATCTCACAAGCATTGTTTGTACAATAATAGAAATGGCAACTTCAATAGATCGTTTATACACCAGTCCACAAACCCACAACAGTGAAGACTGCTGAATGCCTGTTAGGGACAGCAACTCAAAGAACACGGTGCTGATGTGAACATCTGGCATGGATCAAAATAGCTAATGCTGGATGTGAGGTGGGAGCAGCTGTGCGTCAGCCCAAAATGACTGACACCAGATATCTCGGGAACCCACAAGTAAACAGTGATGTATCTGCTGTGGAACCATCTCTTATAGAATGCCGCCTTTGTGTAGGTTTTATCTAAATATGGCCTTGTAGCATGTCCCCAGATCTTAAGAGGCCTCCAGACCTAGCACCACTGACTTCATGATAGAAGAACCATCTAGAATGCAAAACTCCTCATATAGACAGTACCACCTGTCAAAATGAAAACAAAGACCTAATCCATTAAAACCTGAGAAAGTCTCAAAAATGTGCTAACCTTGCTCCTTGGCTTCTATAGTTCTGTTTCTGGCTAACTATTCTTGTTAACTGAATGTCCACCCTGAACAAGGTTTTTGTGCTTTATAAAAATCTCAACGAAAGTTTGGGGCTATGTTGGGATCCTGAATATCCAGTGTAGTCACTGGCCCACTAATAAAGACTTTCCATTGGCTTAAATCCTTGTCTGAACAGTCTTCTCTGGTAGATACCCCATATCAGAGATCTTTAGTTTTATCTGCACCTTCTCCTGCCTGCCTGGCAGCCTGCGTGCCTGTAAATGAAGTGTCTTATCTCCCTCCAACTATGTGCACTCTTTTCAACCGCCCAGCCTCCTGTGTCCTTCTCCTTTCCTATCACTAGAGCTTAGACCTCACCTGAGTGACCCGGCCGTGCCTAGCATCTGTAAGGCCCTGGGAGGGAGGGGACAGGAGAGGCAGGTGGAAAGGAAACATGGGGGATGCAGGAAATGAGAGTAAGAATATCAAGCTGTGGCTGACAGATCTACTCTTTTATCGCCGGGAAGCCAAAGGGCTGGGAATAATTTTAAAGCCAAAGAAACTGAAATGACAATTTAACAGACTCATATTCAGCCATAACAATGTCTGTATGGCTAGGGAAAAAGAAAACAGCCACCTTCTAAAAGACTCTAGGAGACTAAATATATAAAAGAAAACCAATTTTATAGAAGCATTTAAATGTCAAATCATGAAGAATAAGTTCAGTGGTAAGAGTAATATTTTCTTGTTTGATTTTAAATAAAAATTGCTGTGTGTGGTCAGGCATGCTTTTAATCTGGAGTCAGAAGCAGGTGGATCTCTGTGAGTTCAAGGCCAGCCTGGTCTGCATAGCAACCTCCAGGCCAGCCAAGGCTATATCCTAAGACTCTGTCTCAACAACAACAACAACAATAATAATATTGATAATAATAATAATTAAAAGAATCACGAAGCTGAAGTGATGGTTCAGTGAGTAAAGCTTTCCTCATGCCGACCTGAGTTCAACCCCTAGGACTCACTTGAATGTGGAAGGAGAAAAGAGAGACCTCAAAACTGTCCTCTGACCACCAAGTCAGCACCACACATAGCAAGTGCATACAAAGACTACATGGTTGTTTAATTCAAAAGGAATTATATTTGCATAGCATAAGACTTTTAACTGAAAAAAAATTAACTTTGGAGCTATTGATGAAGTTTAGTGTTAGAGCACTTCCCTAGCACACGTGAACTTCTGATTTCAGTCTCAGCACTGACAACTTAAAATTTAGCTATTTCTTTCAGTTTAGTGATGCCTATGATTGAAGTGCTTAGTGAGTAAAGGCCAAAGGCTGGAGGTCAGCCTACACTGGGTAAGGTTGAAGCCAACCTGGGCTACATGATACTCTTTCTCAATAAATGAAAGAACGAGTGAGTCGCTTAATTAATACCAGGAAACCTTCAATTAATCGTTTTTGAACTATCTCCCAGAAAGAAAGAGGGACAAATGGGAGTGAAGAAATGAAAATCGGGGTGCCACAAAGAAGGGGCGATTCACACATCGCTGGATTCAAGAAATTGCAATTCAGTTTTACCACATTGGTCTATGAGATGTTGCTTGTGACAGGTTTCACGGTGTCCAGTCTGGTCTTGAATTTGCCATTCTCCTGCTTTGACCTTGCGGGAATGCACCCAAACACCCAGTTTCATTAGCATTATGTTAAAGTTTAAAATGTTCATATTGTAGACTCAGTAAATTTTCAGTGGAATTTCTATTACAACAAAAACAACTGCACTAGGCTGACTTTATTTCAGTTATGTATTATTAGATATATAATGTACATACAATAAAATGTTAAATATAATAGACTGATTTTTTTATATAAAAGCATATAAAGATGAAATGATATCTTTTAAGATAAACAAAGGCATGTCAACATTTTTTTCTCAGTGTTAGGTATTACAGTTTTTTAAAAAACCATATGCCAAGTTAATTTATACATTTTATATTTATACTTAATATTAAATATAGATCTATGTTTATATTAAACATATACTTAATATATGTTTATATATAGACATATTTAATATAAATTTACATAAGCATGAAAATAGTCATTGAGTTCTCCATACTGTCTTCTTACAGATGGTGAAACTGAAACTGAGCAAATAAATACATAACAAAAACAGAGAATAACATCAAATTTAACAATCAATTTCCCTAGACGATCAGTTGCTCTTTCTTCTTTATCTATTCTGTGGTTATTTCTATAAATGCTTTACTACCACAGCAAATAACTGTGGTATTTGCTAAATACTAAACACAGATATGTTTAGTAATCTTAAATGTGTTATCTATAACTTGGTGAATAATTATTAACAGATTTAAATCGTTTGTTTATCTTGCATGTATATGTCTCTTCGTGAAATATTTTTCCTTTTACCTTTATATTTAAATCACATTTTGCTAAGTTTCTAAAAAAACTCATGTCTTGTTTTCTACCATGCAAATTTGGAAATAAAATTAGATATGAATTTAATAATAATTCTATTCTAAATTATTTTTATTTTGCAACTCTGTGTCTCATCTTGTATCCTTTATTTATATTGAAAGTATTTTTGACAAATTCTTATTTTTAAAGGAGGAAAGAAGCAAGGGGCAGGCATGCAGCCTTTCCAAGTGCTGAAATCATCATGGTTGAAAAGGAACATCACCAGAAGCAAACCATTCCCCTAACGCAGAGCAGGACAGATGGCAAAACCCACTAGCTCTTTGACACATCAACACAGACCAACAAAAAAAAAGATAAAAGTGATGCTCCATAGTTTGTGGTGAACGGGTTTCTTCTGCTTAGCATACGTGAGATTCGTGAATGGGGTTTAACTGATATTTCAATGGGGAAAAGATTCAAGAGTTAGTTGACCTAATGATGAGCATGTATGCACACAGACATACACACACAGGCACATTATACACACGTTATGCACACTTGAAGTAATATGGAAATACGCAAACATTTCCTCACAAAATAATATTAATACTATAAACACCTTAATTAACTTTTTAATAATTTAGTTCTGTAGTTTAGTATAGGGTGGCAGTAAGATATACTTTAACTTCAAAACTTCTAAAACAATCTGTGATGTTATCCTAATCGATTTAAACTAGCAAAGTCTGTAACATGGACTGTATTGATATACAGGAGCTGTACAACAAAGTGTTTCAATCCTCAGGTTTCCGTAGAGGAAAAGTCATGTGTGAGGCACATTGTTGAAAAATACTTTTAAAGCATATTTCTTTTACTAAAGCAGCAATTATACAACTAAACTATAGAAATTTAGTTTATCATTGTAGACGATAATTCTAAACTCTAGTTTCTGAGTAAGCACCAAGCAATTGATAGATCTCATTACCTTTGGCTTTCTCTCCAAATAAAAGACCGCTCCACACCTCAGAAGGGTAGGGCTCTAGGGTCTGCTCCAGATGTTGAGTGTCCACAGATCTGTCTTCTCTGGGAAAATAAAGGAACAGAGCCCATGCCGGAGCCAACAGCAGAAATCCTGTCTTTGGAGCCAGGTCGCCTTTGTCTGCCTCTTGGCCATCTGCTCCTGGAGAGAGTCCACTACTGGTTTATGATGATGGATAGCTAGCACACACCGGATGGTACGCATACTAAAATACGAAGCAGATAAGTTGATAATAAATCTTTCTAAAACAAGCTACCTGTGAGCTATCAATACAGCACGAAGGTGCTAGAATTCTAAGCCGGTACCCGGAAGCTTGCAGGGTAAATATTACCATGACTTTAAAAATAAACCCAAGGATGGGCCACCCATAATCACAGCCATCAGCATTAACAGAATATAAATGAAATCACATAACCATTTTGCCTGCCTCAATTGTTGATTGATCTGAAAGCAAAGGGCTCCTCTATTAGACACACGTACAAAGGAAATAACTAGTCCTTAGCAACGTATTCATTACAGAAGCAGATGCTAGATACCCACCAGGTGGATTTTTTTTAAGTTTGCATGTACTGAAACCTAAAATATTTTACAATTAGAAAATCTTTTACTACAAAAGTACAATTCTCATGAATCAATTACAAATTAATGATGATAGTAATAATAATAGCAATAACAATTCTTTGAAAGCATTGGCTTTAACGTTTAAAAGGGAAATATTTTATATCCTGATCCAGCACAGATGAAGGTGGAAAACAAAAAGCAAGAGGCAAGGACTTCCACTAGAAAAATGTTCCTACTTCATTTAATCATCTCTGGTGTTTGCTAGGTTACTCTTTTTTTTTAAGTAGTATTATAAGCCATATTTAGAAATCTTTTTCTTAAGAATATGTAGTCACAATTATTTACCTATCACTTTATTTCAATTCCTACATATAAAATTTCTAAACTGGTCCTTTTCTCACACAAAGCTCCTTAACTATAGCTAAATGAACAGCTGGAAGTGGGTTTCTTACCCATTTGAGCCTGTTACCTTACAATGGATGCTAGGATAGACTGATTACTCACAGCTCCATGGGTTCTTTACTGTCTCTACTTTATTGTGAGTGAAAAGTTCATCCCTGCCCTCTGATTTTATATCATGTGTTTATGTGCTACATGCTTGCAGTGCCTGAGGAAGCCAGAAGAGGGCACTGGATCCTGAGACTGGAGTTACAAACAGTTGTGAACCATGATATGGGTGCTGGCAATCAAATCCAGCTTCTCTGAAAGAGCACAGATCTCTTACCTTCTGATCCCAGTGCTCTTAACCACTGAGCCATCTCTCCATTCCCTACTCTACCCTTCAATTTTAAACTTTGCTGCTTTACTTGTTCTGACCAAATAAATTTATTTTTTTCCATTTGAAACCTAGTCTATGGTAATGCTTTTGTGTTTCTGAATGCCTTCTGTGCCATCACCCAGAAGCCCACTGTCCAAAGAGGGTTAGAGACATGTGGAGGAGATGGAGACATGAAGTGATACAGTACACAGATACTCCCTAGCAACCTCCAGAGATACGTGCCTGTGAGTCACTGCTTGTGGTTGCTTGAATGAGAATGGTTCCCATAGACCCAAATGTTTGAATGCTTGGTCCCCAGTTGATGGAACTCTTTGGAAAGGATTAGGTGGTGTGGCCTTGAAGGAGGCGGTGCGTCCCTGGGAGGTGCTTTGAAGTTTCCAAACCGATGGCATTTCTAGTTAGCTTTCTCTCTGCCTCCTACTTCCAAATAAGTCTGCAAACTCTCAGCTACTTTTCCAGAATCAGGCCCATCTACCTGCTGCCATGCTCCCCTGTCATGACTATCATGGAATACAATCTTCTGGAACTGTGAGCCCCAAATTAAATGTTTTCTGTTGGGGGAACTCCTTCAGCTAATAGCCTTTAAGATTTCAGCCCACTTTGGGTGTGATCTCATGTACTGTAAGTGTAGATAAAAAGTGTGTGTGGCCCTCTATTCTGCTGGATTTGGTTCCAGTTCCCAGCACACGCAGAGGACTGTAGACCACTACCCTTACTGTAAGTTTATCTCCAAATAAATAAGTTTGTTATACTCCATTCCAGGCTATTATGGAACTCTTTGGTACTACTACAATTTTCTTTTACAAGTTGCCTTGATTATGGTGTTTTATCACAACAATAGAAAAATAGTTAAATCACTATTATTTTGAGTTACTGGTTTTTGTATAATTCTTTCATAAGTATCATGTCAAAACTAACTGGATTAATTATATTTATGAAAGAATATAATTTAAATATACTTATAATACATCTGAGGAGGTAATGAATGATGGAATAAGAACAAAATGTTAAGACACTATTCCTACTTATCATGGATTTTAATTGATCAGTATAAATTTTGTTGATTATGTAGGAAGTTTTGAATGTATTTCTTTGTCATTACTCCTTCTATACAAATTACAAGACATATGTGGGAACCTGAATGGCTTTTCTAATGTCATATAGCCATCCAGTTCTGAGTTTAATCAAGTTACTGTTTGTCCAGTGTCCAAACTTAAACTGTTAAAGATTATTCTCTATTTTCATGATACTTAGTAGCAGATAATTAGACACTGTGGTGTTTGCAGATGTAATTCTGTGACAGTGCCAGCCTAAAATGCAAGAAACTCAGAGCTTTAGAACCACATAAAACTCATGTCTATAATCTATCACTTGGGAGGCAGAAGCAAGAAGATCAGAAATTCAAGTTTATTCTTGGCTACATAGAGAATTTGAGGTCAGTCTAGGGCTCCATGAATCCTCTGACTCCCAGACAAGTGGGAGAAAAGTTATTTTTAAAAAAAGAAAAGAAAAGAAAGGTTATTATGGACTCATATACCCTCTTAATTAGTAGAAAATGTTAATAAAATTGGCTGTATCTCAATATCTTTATTTCATAAAGATATCTCAGTATCTTTATTTCATTTCATTCATATTTTGTTCTATAAATGATCTTTAAGAAAAGAAAGAATAAGGATCTCTATTACATAAAGTTAGATTAAAATCCCTGATTTGTCAGAGGAATATGGAGATGCTGATAGAGACTGTACCTTCATTTCTTGGCCTCCCTGACCCGAATAATCACACAGAAACTATATTAATTACAGCACTATTCAACCAAAAGCTTAGGAGTCTTTCTACCTAGCTCTTTTATCTTAAATTAACTCATTTCTATTGGTCTATGTATCACCACGAGGCTGTGGCCTACTGGCAAGGTTCTGGCAAGGTTCTGGTATCTATCTCCTTTGGCAGCTACATGGGGTCTTCCTGACTCCACCTATACTCTCTATTTCCTGCCTGACTTTACTCTGTTAAGTCATTGACTTTAACAGATTTATTCATCAACCAATAAAAGCAACACATATTCAGAAGGACATCACACATCATGGAGAACATTTAGTTATGGCAGGAGGCATGTATGGCTGTCCCCAAGATGAAGTGTCATGGCTGTATAAGGGCCATGGCTGAAGGTTACAGCTTCTCATACCCTCCGTCCAGTGAGATTGAAGAGGGGGAAAAGTAATCAGGATGAATAAACATTTTTAGACATGTGGCAGAGAAAGGAAAAATGAGAAATAAAGTAATGCTTTGATAGGACGGGGAGTTCAGAATATAGAAAGGGCAAAAACAAGTCAAGAATGAGATGTTCTTCAGGGAAATGCAAATTAAAACCACCTTGTCATTCTATCTTATAACCAGAATGGTGAAGACTAATAAAGCAAATGATAGCACTGTTTTATGTCATCAAACAGGGATACATTGAGATGATACTCAACTAAAAGCTTCAACCCTACTAACTGGTGTTCATGGTGCTAGAAGGGTCTTAGTTTCAGAGGAGAAAGGTAATAATCAATATAACCTGCTTTAAGCCCTAAGATAAACAACAGCAACCTACCTGAAGGATATACTGTGAAATAGTGGTACGAAGGTTATGGGAGTAACCAACCACTTTTAAATTGGATTTAAGGCCCTCTCCATGGCATGGAACCCATAACTGACACTGCAAAAGTGACCAAGAACCTGAAATTAGACATTAGAGCCTGATGCACTGTATGTGAAAATGCTAACTCCACACAAGAATATGCAAATGTTATAAACTATTTAAAAAGGTATTGAAAGCCAATATACAGACCAGGGTGAATCTGGTACAGATAATGGCTGTTTTCCAGTGTGAACGAAGGAAGTACCATCACCAGTCATCCATCACTGCAAGAACACAAAATCCTTATGATAATGACAACTTGGACAGCACATAAGCACTGCAGTGTGTGTGTGTGTGTGTGTGTGTGTGTGTGTGTGTGTGTGTTTACATTCACAGAGTTCTTCTTACCATCAATGTTATGAGTTGGCAAATTGTTTCTATGAAATGAAAACCTTAAGGGCTTTTTTTTTTTTGGCCCATAGGACTGTAGCAACTGCTTACCTTTGTCATTGTAACGTGAGAAAAGCCATAGTCAATAGGAAACGAATAGGGATAGCAGAGCACCAATAAAACTTTATTTGTAGAAAACAGTGTTTCCCTGCCGAAACAAAGAATAGAATAAACACAGTGAGGTAGTCTACCAACAATCAAAGGAACTCAAAGCTATTTTGCTGCAATGTCCTTCTCTCCAGTTTGCTAAAAATATCATAAATAAGTGGGGAAGAAACAGCACTTGCAATGAAACAAAACGCCAATTGATTGAAGCAAAAATAAGGAAATAGATACTAATCTCTACAACTGCACTTGACATTTACAAATAGGCTTAACTGTTCTGCTGGCATAAAAAGCAAACAGTTTATCTCAGCAGAAACTGTATCCAAACCTCTTTGTAAGCTTGTCATGGGCGTAGTTAATTATTCCTTGGAAACTGAGCTGATACATCTCAGGATTCTGCAGAATTCCCCAAGTCAAGGACTCTCCTCTCTATTGCTCGCCTCCCAGCTTTGCCCAGTGCCACTGGTGAGGTTTAAGCAGGATCTCCCCACCTGTCTTTCTCTATGGATTAGAGAAGGACACTGCTCTCTGTTTAAGAACTCTTATTTCCCACAAGGAGAATGGTTGTCAAAGGCTCTTCATTTTCAACAGGTAAGTGAAGAAGGCTATGCTCAGAGGTATTTGCCACTGAAGGACAGAGGAAGCCATAAGGTGTATAGTAGGTGAAGAAATGGTCCAGAGAGTATAGTTTGGGACTGGTGGGAGAAAGGCTTTGGTTAAAGGATATATTGCAGGGTGGAGCCTGCGCTGTCTACAACTGAGCACTTCCCCAAACAGGCTATACACATGTGGTTATTTCTAAACCTACTTTCAAGAAGACCGTTATGGCCTTCTATAAACAAATATCCCAGAAAAGACAGAATCTCTTTACTTTGATTTTTAAATTAGCTTAGTAAGTGGTAGATATGTTTTATTAGGTTTTCAAGTAACTTTATATCGTGAAGCTATTACTTTTCAGAAATATTGGTCAGCTAACCTAGCAGTAAAATTGTTTATGGGTTTGCCTGGTGTTTGCCAGAACTTATCTATTGTATAGTCACATTTGATCTTTTTAACAATCCTGGGGTTCTGGAAGCATTTTATAAGACTGGAATT